CGTATCAAGGATTTATTGATACAGTCAATAGACAAAAGATGTGGTTTTAGTGTGCCAAAAAACAATTTTGTTTAAAAAGCAATATCCCATGTACCATGAAACAGTCAAATAGTACCCGCTTTAACAAGGCTAATTGTAGGGACAATTTCTTAAAATATCTTAATATGTCGGAGAGAGAAATTTGTGTTTTTGGTACATTTATGTTCAAACCTAGATAACAAAGAAATTATCCAAGTAAGTCCGCAATGAAATTTTGGATTTGTATCTAGAAGCAACAGATGTGCTACAGCCTGTAAGCCTCTATTATGCAAAAAACACTTTCAAATTGAATTCAGATAGTCTTTGAATGTTGATGTATAAGGAGTGCAAGAATATAAACTTGATTTTAGAGGATGTCAAACAACTGTTATCCCTCCTTTGACGCACAGAACACACAAGATTTGGTTGAGGAAAACTAGTTTCGTCTTTACTAGAGCTTTTCAACTTTTTCAATTCCTCGATCTACAACTGTTATGAATTGAAAAGGTTTAGTAAAGTCGAAACTAGTTTTCCTCAACCAAGTCTTTTGTGTTCTGTGCGTCAAAGGAGGGATATATAAGTATTTTAACATCCTCTAAAATGAAATATCAAGAAATATTAACTTGGGTTCTCGATAAGCACGGGCCAGCACCTTCGTACAATCATTTCAAAACGACGAATTTGGAGGATCGTCTTCTTTGCTTGCTTAACCTTTGTGACTGAACGGTAAGACGAATCAAATTATGATTTACTTTACAAATGGAATTTTAATGTGAACGATTTATGAATACAGTTTTTTTTTTCGCTAAAACTAATTATTTTTAACTTTGATTCTTGACAACCAGGAGCGAGCACCTGCACTTCACAGACAAGTCTAACCACAATTATACGCGTGGCCGAATGGAAGTGCCTTCGATTTCTTAGACCCTTCTACACGAGCAATTTTTATGTGACAACTATATGTGACATTTTTTCTGTCCGTGTTGACAGGCAKCCAGAAATTATWGTKGAAGACTCGCGCCAACTGTGATTTTGCACAGCGGAGATGTCAATAAACAAAACAAATTTAATTACCATAGTTTCGTAGTAGCACTAAAGATAATAAAACTTTAAAAAATGCGATATACTTTTTAATATTTTTTTATATATTTTTTTAAATATATTTTTTATTTTTATATTTTTTTAATCTTAACATGTTTCAGAAGAATGAGGATGGCATACTGTAATGCTGAAACATGTTAAGATTAAAAAATATATATCGTATTCTTTAAAGTTTTATTAAAACAAATTTAGTTGGTGTTAGCTCTTGCAACAACAATAATAGCATTCTCTCTGTCGAATCCAGTCGTTCTGCTTACTATCGGTGTCGCCATCTTGGTTGGTGTGCAAAATGTTGAGACGTGGATTCAGTGTGACGTCGAAATAATTGCCACATTTATGTGACGCCCGTCCACACGGGAAATTATCGATATGTGACAATTACATAAAAACTAGCATGCCAGCATTCCAGCAACTACAGTTGTCACATAAATTTGTCCAATTTTGCTCATCTACACGGGCAATTAAAAACTGTCACATAAAAATTGCTCGTCTAGACGGGGCTTAATTCAGAGGTCTGAAGTTCRAGACTCAGAGGARHTGACATTTCTTTAGATTTCTTTCTTTGCCAAAAAATAAATAAATTCAATCAAATATAGAACAGGAATCCCGGTAACGTTAACTTAATGAGAAAATTAATGGAGAACAATGAGAATAAATAAATAGTTCTGAACACAAATAACGCAGGCTCAAGTTTACAGGAAAGTGAGTGACTGAGTGACTGAGTGATTGAGTGATTGAGTGAGTGACAGATTCGTCCCCCTCCAATAACTATTCGATTGCTTCGCAATCTTCGAGTTAAAAAGGGAGAGAGAGCAAGAAAAAAAAAGAAAATGTTTTAATGACTCTTCCTTTGACAATTTGCATTTTCCGTGAGTTAAGGCTAGTTTCTCGCTGGCTCTGTCTGGCATCGAAAGAGTTCGAAAGGAGGATAAAGCGCTAGTTCCAATTTGTTAAAAAAAATCAAATTTTAAAGGTTACTATAATGAATATGTGTTTTTCGTTTGTATTTGGCAAGGTTTTGATAATTTGTGGCGTCAAAGAAAAAAGCAGTTATTGGCTTTAATTTCGAAAAAGTAGTATCCAGAAGATTGCTCTGAAGTGTCTGATAGCTACTAGGTTAGGATCCGCTGGAAAACCATATGCTATTATATGCAACCTTATATTCTGTTGTTAACCGGAGAAAAATGTACATAAATTAAAAAAGAAAAGGGGAAATGTCTGCTTTTGTCGTTTTTTAATTGCTCCTATAACTCACTGATTCGAAAGTATTCATTTTTTTAGTTATCAGTGAACCTATAGTAAATCCTTCCTCAAATGTGCAGTCATTATTTATTGCAAGAACATTCAATATGAAATCGACATGTATATTTATGCTTTTAATGTAAACGATTCAATCTTATAAGCAGCCTACCTAAATCAGTTTTAAAGCTAGTGACGTCAAAGACCTAATAAAGTATGAGATACTGATACTTCAATTTCAGTACATTTATATACGATCTTTTTTTTAATCACGAATCGGCTATAATTATGCCAATCTTAGGATTTGTGAGAACTTTTTGTGCGAGCTTGTTGGTAGATAGTAGGTCTATTTGGGAACTATGAGTTTGTCGCTCCAGTCCATCAGTCTATCCGGCAAATAAGTGCATGTCTGCGGTTTGCAGTTTCAAATGCCCATAAGGTATCCCGCTCATATTTTATATATTATCTAGCTAGCCGAGGCGGGTTTGTAGTACGTATAGTACTAGTACGGACTTTGAACGTCTTGCAAAACTCCCTCTGATTGGACGACAGTTGTACAATCAGAGGGAGTTTTGCAAGACGGTCAAATTCCGTGTCAATCAAGGTCGATGAAGGCTTGAGCGGATTCAAAAATTGAGTCAGAGTTGCGAACAAATATGACGATTTGGCACGGTTTGATTTGAAGTCCGTTGAAATGTTGACCAATTCTGGATAGAAAGATCCTAGAGACATGCCGCTGGGGGGATTTTGGAGGCAAAA